GCAGTTTTCTCTTTAAAACGTTTTTTATGCATTTATTTTATGAACGTTTAAGCATACATATCGTAACAAAAAAATTCAAAATCATGACATTAAAACTACAGAAAGTATATTGTGTAATTTGGGTAATGTAAAAAAAAAAAAAAAACATTAAGTTATTTGAAAACTTAAATAAAAACTTTTCATATTAGAAATTTAACAGATTTTAAACGTAGAAATTTTGGTAGTTGTCCATAGCAAATATTGATAACGTAAAAATTACATCGTGACGCCATGCCATAAAGCACGACTTTGTGGACAATCATGCCATTTTTAAGAGGCTCCTGATGAAAAACTAAAAGTGGTATCGGAGAAATTTAAACTGTTTTAGGAAATATGCATTGTAGACATCCTGTGTAAAAATCCTGATCATATTCAATAACAGGGCCGATTATGACCCATAACGACTCTTCCTCTTATTGAAACTACGAATTTCGGGAGGCGTTTGATTAACACATCCTTGCACTTTCACAATTTTTAACTCTATCCTTAATACTTAAGAAAAGTAGCAATTTTGTTGTGTATTAATGAATAATATTACATCTATAATCCAGAAAATTCAGAGTAAAAATGTGCCAAAGCAAAACCCACTCACTTAAGTATTATCAGCCCGTGCTCAGTGTTGTGTATAGAGTTTAACAAATTGAATACACCCGTGAAACGTAAACTGTTTTTGTCTGTTGTTGTTCATGTTTACGTTTCACCGGGTGTGTTCAATTGTTAAACTCTGCACACACCACTGAGCACGGACTGACAATACTGGTGAGAGGATTTTGCTTTCTACAATTCTGCATTATAGTTTTAATATTTTTCATTAATAAACAACAAAATTGCTACTTTTCTAAAGTAATAAGGATAAAGATAAAATTTGTGAAAGTGCAAGGATGTGTCTATCAAACGCGTCCAGAAATTCGAAGTTTCAATAACTTCCAGCTAAAATAAGATTTTTATCAAATTTTCGTATGAAATGCTATAGCAACATACATGTATAAGTCATGAAATTATACAGAAAATTTGAGTAAATATTAACTTAAAATCTGTGTCTAAGCACCTTTAAGCCTTGTAACACAAGACGTCACAAGTGTATGGATTTAGTTTTTAGCTCACCTGAGCTGAAAGCTCAAGTGAGCTTTTCTGATCACATTTTGTCCGTAGTCCGTCTGTCCGTCCGTCTGTCCGTCTGTAAACTTTTCACATTTTCGACTTCTTCTCCAGAACCACTGGGCCATTTTCAACCAAACTTGCCACAAAGCATCCTTGAGTGAAGGGGGTTCAAGTTTGTTCAAATGAAGGGCCATGCCCTCTTCCAAGGGGAGATAATTAAGAATATGTGAAAATTTGGTGTCTTCTTTTAAAAATCTTCTTCTTAAGAACCATTGGGCCAGAAAAGTTGAAACTTATGGGAAACCTTCATTACATAGTGTAGATTCAAGTTTGTTCAAATCATGACCCCCAGGGGTAGGGTGGGGCCATTATGGGGGATCAAAGTTTTACATAGGAATTATAGGAAAATTCTTTAAAAATCTTCTTCTCAAGAACAACAAAGCCACAATTAGTCATATTGATATGAAATCATTCTCAGGTAGTGTAGATTTAAGTTTGTTCAAATCATGACCCCCGGGGGTAGGGTGGGTCCACAATGGGGGATCAAAGTTTTACATAGGAATACATAGGAAAATTCTTTAAAAAATCTTCTTCTCAAGAACAACAAAGCCACAATTATTCAATTTGATATGGAATCATCCTCAGGTAATGTAGATTCAAGTTTGCTCAAATCATGCCCCCCTGGGGGTAGGGTGGGGCCACAATGGAGGATCAAAGTTTTACATAGGAATATATAGGAAAATTCTTTAAAAATTTTCTTCTCAAGAACAACAAAGCCACAATTAGTCATATTGATATGGAATCATCCTTCAGTTAGGTAGTGTAGATTCAAGTTTGTCGAAATCAAGACCCCCGGGGGTAGGGTGGGTCCACAATGGGGGATCAAAGTTTTACATAGGAATAAATAGGAAAAATCTTTTAAAATCTTTTCAAGAACAGGAAAGCCTTGATTAGTCATTTTGATATTGAAGCATCCCCAAGTATTGTAGATTCAAGTTTGTTCAAGGCATCCTCCAGTAGTAGGGTGGGGCCATAATCGGGGATCAAAGTTTAACAAAAGAATATATATAAGAAATATCTTAAAAAATCTTCTTCTCAAGAACAACAAAGCCATAATTAGTCATATTGATATGGAAGCATCCTTAGGTAGTGTAGATTCAAGTTTGTTCAAATCTTGAACCCTCCCTTCCTACCCCCCAGGGTAGGATGGCAGACATCTTTAAAATTCCGTTTCAAGAACAGCAAAACCATGATTAGTTATATGAATATAGAAGCATCCTCAGAAAGTTTAGATTCAATTTCATTCAAAACATGGCAACTGGGGATAGGTTATGCCTAGAACAGTTGATCAAAGCTTTACGTATGAATATATAGAAGAAGAAACCTGCTGACAAAGAACAGCAGGGCCATATTGACTCAGGTGAGCGTTGTGGCCCATGGGCCTCTTGTTAGCTAAAGGGAGCTGATCACATTTTGTCCGTAGTCCGTCTGTCCGTTCATCTGTAAACTTTTCACATTTTCGACTTCTTCTCCAGAACCACTGGGCCAATTTCAACCAAACTTGCCACAAAGCATCCTTGGATGAAGGGGGTTCAAGTTTGTTCAAATGAAGGGCCACGCCCTCTTCCAAGGGGAGATAGTTAAGAATTGGTGAAAATTTGGTGTCATCTTTTAAAAATCTTCTACTCAAGAACCATTGGGCCAGGAAAGTTGAAACTTATGGGAAACCTTCAGTACATAGTGTAGATTTAATTTTGTTCAAATCATGACCCCCGGGGGTAGGGTGGGGCCACAATGAGGGATCAAAGTTTTACATAGGAATATATAGGAAAATTCTTTAAAAATCTTCTTCTCAAGAACAACAAAGCCACAATCAGTCATATTGATATGGAATCATCCTCAGGTAGTGTAGATTCAAGTTTATTCAAATCATGACCCCCAGGGGTAGGGTGGGGCCACAATGGGGGATTAAAGTTTTAAATAGGAATATATAGGAAAATTCTTTAAAAAAAACTTCTTCTTAAGAACGTTAACAACAAAGCCACAATTAGTCGTATTGATATGGAATCATCCTCAGATAGTGTAGATTCAAATTTGTTCAAATCATGACCCCTGGGGGTAGGGTGGGGCCATAATGGGGGGTCAAAGTTTTACATAGGAATATATAGGAAAATTCTTTAAAAATCTTCTTCTCAAGAACAACAAAACCACAATTAGTCATATTGATATGGAAGCATTGTCAGGTAGTGTAGATTCAAGTTTGTTCAAATCATGACCCCCAGGGGTAGGGTGGGGCCACAATGGGGGATCTAAGATTTACTTATGAAAATGTATTAAAAAAATCTTTAAAAATCTTTTTCCAAGAACAACAAAGCCACAATTAGTCATATTGATATGGAATCATCCTCAGGTAGTGTAAATTCAAGTTTGTTGAAATCAAGACCCCTGGGGGTAGGGTGGAGCAACAATAGGGGATCAAAGTTTTACATAGGAATATATAGGAAAAATCTTTGGAAATCTTTTCAAGAACAGAAAAGCCATGATTAGTCATATTGATATTGAAGCACCCCAAGTATTGTAGATTCAATTTTGTTCAAGGCATCCTCCAGTAGTAGGGTGGGGCCATAATGGGGGATCAGAGTTTAACAAAAGAATATATATAGGAAATATCTTTAAAAATCTTCTTCTCAGGAACAACAAAGCCATAATTAGTCATATTGATATGGAAACATCCTCAGGTAGTGTAGATTCAAGTTTGTTCAAATCATGACCCCCCTCCTACCCCCCCCCCCCCCCCCCCCCCCCCAAGGGTAGAGTGGCAGACATCTTTAAAATTCCGTTTCAAGAACAGCAAAACTATGATTATAGTTATATGAATATAGAAGCATTCTCAGAAAGTTTAGATTCAATTTCATTCAAAATATGGCACCTGGGGATAGGGTATGCCTAGAACAGGAGATCAAAGCTTTACATATGAATATATAAAAGAAGAAATCTGCTGACAAAGAACAGCAGGGCCATATTGACTCAGGTGAGCATTGTGGCCCATTGTCCTCTTGTAAAAAATAAAGACTGTGACATCTCTTGAACGTTTTCAATTTGTTAAAATAACCAAAATGACCATCCACAGCTTTTCTTTTAACAGTGCTTAATGTCATGAGTGATATTTTAAATTCTCATGCAGGTCATTTCACCAAATGCAGTTTATTGAAAACATACTATGAAATGTTTTTATTGCATCTTATACTGCATTTATTATGCAATATGTTATAATCCTAGAATTTGTAACTTCCCCATGCAATTTCTGATCAATTCCTCAACAACAACAACAACAACCCCATTAGCACCAACAGAGAAAGAAATGAAAAAAAGGGAATAGGGAAGGAAAATATATTCTAAAAAATCAACACTAATAGTTCCCTTTGACTAGCTTTGTTATGGCAAAATAAGAATTGACAAACTTCACTAGATTTTATGGTTCAGTGTCTGAAAAAAAAAAAACGAAACAAAAAAAAAAATAATGATCAAGTCAATCCTAAATGACTAAGTCCAAAAAGTTACATTTTAGATATACAAATGTACATGAGAATGGCAAAGTCCTGACACCTGATTCTACTCTGCACATCTCTGTACAAAAGCTTGTACATCACTTAATTCTTCTCAAGATTAAACGATTGAAACTGCAGCCACCACAAGTTCAGGACATAAAGATGATCTTTTACATTGCATATCAACTCAAAATCATCAGCATTAAAACTAGGGAAAAGCATCGACTCACTTCATTCGTCATACCCAGAAAAAAAACCTTCAAATACATGTACATTGTACATGTATTTAACATATCAATAGCAAACAGTGCGTAGAGAATCTTAAGTTCTTTTATTCGCAACATGTATATAACTGAACATCAAAGTTCTGAACATTGATACTAGAATATCAGGGAAACATCTCTGTGTATCAGCTGACCTGATTAACTTGAGTTCTAGTGTTGACATATTAAAGACACAACTCACTCAGACAAAGTAATGGAGGAATCATGGACATTCGGGATCAACTTATCTTATCATGCTCATAATACAGATGTACAGAATTTCATAAAGCAAGACATTTGTAAACTCAGGAATTTGTTGATCCAATTACTGAAAAACACAAAACTTATACTGATGAAACTAGAGATTGGAATGTTATGTCTCCATCCTTTTACATATCACAATTTACAGCACCACTTTCATCTCCTAAATCTAAATATCTAACTAAAACTTACTACAATTGAATGTACAAAGATAAAAAAAAATTAAGAAGTACATACCCAGTAATAACTGCATATATTAAAACAACATGTGATGAGTAGAATTAAACAAATAAATGAAGTGTTAAATTTTTCAGAGAATTATAAAAAATATATACATGTATATGTACAGTTGAACTTTGGTATCTCGAACACTGATATCTCTAATACCATGGATGTGTTGAAGTGATCTGGAAGTCCCCAACCACTTATTCTCTAAGTATTTTACCCTTGACATCTTGAATCCTTTGGATATCTCAAAGTTTTTTCTCAGTCCTATCGAGTTCGAGATAGCAAGATTTGACTGTATATGGCACCAAAACAAAAGGGATGTGTCGCTATCAACATATACATGTAATACATGTACATGTAATTAAAATCTAATTGTTCATATCATAATATATATGTGTGAACATTGTATATATTTAATATTCTTTATATTCCTGAAAGCAAAATATTAATTCAATTAAAAGAAAACTTGTTATTTTCAATAAATATTCAAAGAGAAATATGCATTTATTGGAGATTCGTCATGTAGGAACATATAATAATTAATACCCCCGGTAAGTGACATGTTTACACATGTTCAAATAACTGTATATTTCAGCAGGAATAAACGAGACAAATTTCTTCATAAAGCAATTTCACAAACATCAACATTATATAATTATATTCTCAAAATCATTTTTGTATATGTGAAAAAACTAATAAATACAGGATTCAAATAAGAACAAATATAATCTGCATTTATATAAGAGAATTCTTTTTTCTTACAAGTACATGTAGCTACTAATCTACAACATGTCTGAAGTCTTGCTCTCATGAAAAATAAACTGCATTTTATGTCCACTTAAGGATACAAGACACAAAAAATTTGGATGCATGGCTAAATATAATTTTTTGACTGATTTGGAATAAAAATGACATATTAAATAAATCCCTTAAAATTAAAGAAATTGTATGTTTTCTTTGGTGCTGAAATATGTGATTTTGTGTCATTTTCTATGTAATTCTATACACAATTTTGCACACATTTTAAACATTGTGAAAATATCTTGCAAAATTCTCCCTTTTTACCTGGCAAACATTATTTAGGTTACCTATTTAAATATAAATCTATGAGAAATATAGCTAATTTCTGGAAAAAAGTTTGTTTGTGTTATTTATCCTTAAATAGGCACATCCCCCCTGCACAGATGCGTAATGCAAAGAGAGCTAAGAATGAAATAGTAGTGGTCATGGTAATGAAAAACAATCAGCTCTCTTCGAGTATTCTATTAAATGGCCTTTCAAACAAAACTCACATGTTGATAAAAATGAATCATGACTTTTGAAAATTTTTCCACTCTTTCATCTGAGCACCAAAAATTCTCTTGGTCAGGAGTATTTTAGAAATTTGGAAGCAAGTCTTGAATACTTTGTCTTTTCTCTCACTGTATTGTAGATTGATCACTGTCTAGATCAGTATACTCTCCCTTGGAAGTCTTCTTTTTGATGACCACAAATAGTCCCCCAAACATGATGATGACGACAGGTATACCTAACCCCGCTGATATCACCCCCACCACGAGGGAGGAAACTTTGTCCATGGGAGGGGCACCATAGCCAAGCTGAGCAGTCCTTCAACAACAAAAAAGAAAACAATTATAAAGACTAAAATAAATATATCATTTTACTGGTTATTTTTAAAATGATAAGAAATCCATTGCTTCTTGAAGTTTGATACACTTCAAAAGCCTGTGAAAATCTTTGGTATCATAAATTACATAATCAAACAAATTTTCCAATGTAAAAATGTTTATAAAAAGAAAATTTTTCAACAAATTTTAGCTGAGCATCAATCTTACCAGGAAGTATAATTAGTTTTAGTAAATCCACCATCTTTTTCCAGACCAAATGTGAAATTTGTTGCATATCTTGATATTATCTGAATATCAGAGAAATATGAATATAAAATACTGCTGTTCAGAAAACTATCTATATATTCAGTAGATGAGAGTCCAGTAGTTTCAACTTTAGTAGCTACTGAGCGAGCCCGGGCAGACTTTAAGTAACAAACAGGCTTCCACTGTAAATAGCCTCCATTGTCTTCATTTCTTGGCCGAGTTAACCAGTTAGATACCTACAATATAAATGTTTTTTTGTACTTTGCTGGCAGTGATCCTGGGTTCACTTTGGTATCTTGAGATTATTCTCAGAAACTCACTGAATAACATACTATATTAAATCCTATGTCATTGTGTTTATTTTTTTTTTCTTTAAGAAATATTCAAAATTTTGAAAAAATTTGCAGGAGGTTCATATTTCATATACATGTACTTAATCACAATATCTTAATAAAAGTGACTTGCATACCTGAAAGACTCCAGGGGTGTACTCATCATCTACAGACTTCTTAGTGACAATGGACATGGGTGTGACTGCAGAGTCTTGCCCTAAAAGAACTGTCTCTAGACCCCACCTAGCTGAGGAGGAGTTTCCTGTGTCTATGTCCTGGAGAGTAAAATCAATCTGGGTGGACTCAGCATCATACTGAAGATGGGGTAACTCTGTAGATCTGTCACTGTGATCAAACAAGTGAAACTGAAAGTAGAAACAATAAATAATGGGTTAAATCAGAAGATTCTCTGTGACACACTATTGAGGAAACAGTTTGGTTCGAGGGGTCAACAAAATGCATTTTGCCCGAGAACACAGTCAATAAATGTTTTGTTATACCTTTTACTTTTTATTTTGACATAATAGCCTTAGGCAAACAGTTTGCTTCTTGGGTCCGACAAAATGCATGTTAATTGCCCTCGAACCCAGTCAATAAATGTATATTGTTCCATAATAATCTGTTTTGTTTCATTATATCAATGACTTGTCTTCATTATAAGATATCTTGTATTACTGTGAGATTAGCAGCACTTATAATTGACAGTGAACATGGAAAATGATAAACAGACGGATAAAAACAATATTTTCCCAAAATTTTCGTAAGAAATTTCAAGACATTTTTTTCAAACTCTTTGTGAATTACCTGTAGTACTAAAGATCCATTGTATAAAGCCCGGTCTATCACCTCTCCACTATTTTTGACCTTCATCACTATGAAATCATTGGATGACCACATTGATAAGTCCTGCCACTCAAACACGTCAAAGTCATACACTCTCCATGCAGTACTGTTGACGTTGTAGTAATTTATATCAGCTTTGTCAGCTGTGTCATTGTACTGGAACAGCTGTTATAAATAAATGAGCTCGCCATTACTTGTTCTGAGGTCTTTATGCACCTTCCTCCCAAAACGCATCAAATGACTTGGTCAAGGATTGATGCTTGTATGGGCTTCAAAAAGGTGCAAAATAGAACACAGATATGAAAAAGCTAACTAGTAAATGAAAAGATAGACCAAGACATCCATATCATTGTTTATCAGGGTCTATGAAATTGTCCAGCTTTCTCAACTGAATTATGACCATATCTGAGTGTGCGTATTTACAACTTTTCTTTTTGCAAAGATATTTTGATCAACATGTCCTAAGCCTAGTAAAATACTATATTACAGATAATTATTTTGATATTCAAAAACACTTTATGTTACTGCCATTTGACTAAAACTTAAAATAAAGATATAAATTCATATATAATACTTGCCCTCGTAAACACAACTCCAAATGAGTATATCTCTTTTACACCATCTGGTTTGATTATAGCCTCCCTTCTCTCTGTTTCATTCTTAGATGCAATCTTTCTACAGTCAATTTGAAGCTGATATTTGCCTTTTGGTTTGTTAGTCTGAATAACTAATGCAGAAGGTGGGCCTCCTATCGCTGATATTATATAGTGCAGAATGTCATTATCTCCCTTGGACACAATATAAGCAAGACCAGGACTGCATTCTGGACATTTCTGTGTCTCACAACCAGGGTTAAAGAATGTGGTCATCTATAAAAAATGATTGAAAAATATAACTTTAACACATAAAAACAGAAGCTTAAACTGTACAAAATTATTAAGTATAAGAAGAAGCTACTGTTTGGAATGACATTTTTTTTAAATACCATATCACTCTGCTATAAGCTAAACTCTTAGTTAAGGTCTTTTTAAACAGGCTTAAACTGAATTACCTAAAGATAATGATAAATTATATATGATTTATATCTAATTAAAACAAAGGGAGGATAAAAAACAAGAAGATAATGTCCTTCAGGAATGAGTTTTAATACTACCATCCAGCAATCATCATGTGGCTATTAGACCCTAGGGTTAGCTTGGCTATTTAAAAAATCATCCTTATACACCCACTTGGCCAATGAAAATTTGACTTGTACTGCATTTTAGAATTTGGGTTTTGTAAGAATATAATATCAGTAAGTACTTAAAAATAAAGTTCTCATAAAGATTACTTCAGTTCTACACGTATGTCACATGCAGAATAAAAAACATGTACAAGTATTCCTTTGTGCAAGACTTAAGCAAACTTATTCTCTGTTGGAATTGTGATCACTCGAAATTTATGAAATTTTAACTTCATTACTCAACTTGAAAATAGAGGTCACATGCAGCATTCAAAGCATATGTATGGATATGTTGTGTATTCCCATAGGCATTATATCTATGCAAGTTTGGACATTCAATTTAGGAGTTATAATACATTTAGAATAGGAATCTCCAGTAAGTGTAGCTGACACACAGCATCTGAATCATGTTTAGCAGTATGCATCCTTATCGACATTATGCATCCTAGTATAATAAAAGAATTGTACCGGTAAGTACCAAATTACTCTGATGACTTTTATTATTTCCACTCATCCAGGAAATATTAGTCCCAAATCATGCCATATTAGAAGTATTATTGCATCTAAATTAAGACTAGTGAAACTATTAAAACAATACAAGATAATGGTCAAGTTAGGAGTTTCATAGTTACTTGGAATGGACCTGCAGCAAAAGAAAGGTCTTTTTGACCACTCACCCAAAAATTATATCTGAGGTGCATGAACATCTTAAGCATGGGAGTAGGACTTTACTTTTACACAAGCAATTCTAATACGAAACGAGTCTTCTTTTAATATGGATTTTTGTGAATTTAGATACAGCATAGCTTTGAACTATAGTTAAAAGTTGTGAACTATAAAGAAAACCCCATCCTTTTTAATCCAGCAATTACGTCCTTGTTATCATGGTTATATCGAAAATAAGAAAGAAAAAATTAATTAAATCTGTCAAAATGCAAATAAAAGATTAACTGTGATTAATCATACTTACACTCCGAACTGGTCCATCACTATTAACAAAAGAAAAGCAATAAATAGCTATAAAGCATTTGACTAGCATGTTTCTGCTTTGCATCTTCCCCCAACAGAGAGGTATAATATGTATATTATACCTCCAACAGATGACAAAATCCGTCACATGACTAGTATTCATGATCACATGGTAACAAAATGATAGAAATTTCGAACCCGAACTAAACTTTCTAAGTCTTCAGTTGTTATTTCCTTTCATTTCATTTAATTTTCTTTTCGTTATGATCAGATGATATATTTGAATTTGTTTAACTGCCTTTTAATATTTTGATCTCATATATCTTGTTTTATTTTGTTGGTATGAAATATAACGTGACTTCCGGCGGGAAATACGAAATTTAAGAAAAGGTCTTGAACGTGAACTTGAACGGTAAACTTTAGTGAAGTAATGAAATTATGAACTAATGATAGGGTATATTTGTCAAAATAGCAAATATATATTTATTTATATCTGTAGTAAAGTTAGAGCTATATTTAAGCATTCCCTTTTAAGCGAAATGGATTTTTCCAAACACAGAACTTTGTATTGTTGTGGTTCAGTGCTTAGATCATTCAGGTAGATGTTCGAATCCAGCCCCGTCAGTTGAACTCTTGAGAGGTGATGGATATTGAACCATCAGGTCATCGGCGAAGCAATTTGCCTTCTCGCCACATTCCACTGTCCCTTCTTAAAATTCTTCGCCAACCCAACCAACCCAGGCACTTCCCTGGCATAGGCACTCCCCAGTTTAACTGTTAAAAAATATATATCTACTATACCATAAACATATGTTTATAGTATAGTAGATATATATTTTTTAACAATTAAGCTGAGGAGTGCCTATGTTCCCTGGCAGATCTTTCATTTCCTGTCACAAGTGTAATTGGTCCAGAAAGTCATCACATTGAAGAGTAATAATTAAAGCCTAGTAACATATGTATATGTACAAGTGTCATTTGCTGATGAAGCTTCTTCAAAAGGGTCAGGTGGGAGGCAGTTGTGAGTTAATTCTTGTTTTGGGTGGTGTGTAAATGGCAAGACTTCAATTAAAGCATGTTAATCCTGCATGAGTGGTGGTGGTGGTGGTGTAACTGGTAAATCAATTGCCAGGATGCCGAAGTCCATAATGTGATGCTAGAGGATGGTTACATTGGGGGGGGGGGGGTGTTATACTGTGACAGTCAGATGGGTGTAGATGACACTGCTGGTGGCCAGATAACTCAGTTGGAAGAGCTGCCCTACCTAGAAATTTGGAGGGGGGGGGGGGCAGGTTCCAATCCTAGTCTGGTCCGTCACTTTTTTTCTCCTTTCCTTTTACATTTGGTGCCCTGACCAAGATGTGACAGGTAAGGGCCGGGCCTGCCAGGGAAGAGCCTGGGTTGGTGCATGTTTTCAGGGGGGCAAAGACCCTTAAAGGGGCTTAGACACAGATTTGAAGTTAATATTTTCTTAAATTTTCTGTATAATATCCTGACTTATAAGTTCCTTTAGCATTTCAGACGGAAATATAATGAAAAACTTGTTTTATCTAGAAATTATTGAAACTACAAATTTCGGGACACGTTTGATTGGCACATCCTTGCACTTTCACCAAAAAAAAAACTTTATTCTTAATACTTAAGATAAGTAGAAATTTTGTTGTGTGTGAATGAAAAATATTAAAACTATAATCCAGAAAATTCAGAGTAGAAATGCGAGAAAGCAAAACCAACTCCCCAGTATTGTCAGTCTGTGCTCAGTGATGTGTGCAGAGTTTAACAAATTGAACACACCTATGAAATTATTAACCATTAACACTGGCAATGTCAAAGGTGCATTTAAGTATAAGCATTACCATAAAATAGTATCATATAGTAAAATTGGTGTTTTTGATGATATTGGATTTATATTGTCTTTACTGTAACAGTTGCACATTTTAGACTGATTTATTTGAAGTAAATATTTGATATGGAGAAGACACCAATTTACACAACACCCAGTCCTGAGACCAGTGGTGAACCTCCTATCAAGAAGCACAGACTCATCAGTAGTGGATCAACTCCACAAAGAAATGGCCTGACCCCAGTCAGACAAAGATTAGAACAACAGAGAAAGAAGGTTCTGGAGAAAGAGACCAGGAGTCAGCAAGAGACCAGTCCCACACTGCAGAAACTGAGGGACACACCAGGTTTGTAGAAATCCATGACAAAAGATATCCTAATGAGTACCGGTATATACATTAATCTTTAATAGCCGAGGGTTCTGATCTGCTCCTTCTTTGAAGGAGGAGAGGAGTGGATCAAAATGCTTGCCTAGCGAAGATCTGATGGAATATGTAACATATAAGATTTGAAACAAGGGTTTTTATTAATCTATTCCCAACATATATATAAGAGAAATTGTCTCTGTGCATTATGAGTACTTAATTCAGTTCACAGCAGCCAATCTCAAAGAAAGTGTTAGATTTAAAATTGTACTTAACTCTTTTAACATGTTTAAAGAAGAAACTTCATTTACATGTACTTACTTAGGTCGAGTTAACAAAGACAAACATGCCTTGATCAACAAGCACCTTGATACAAAGCACAACATGGATCGGCTGAGTGTAGGGGGTGGGGTCTCACTCTGGCCAGACATGGAGGACATGCGTCTTTCACTTCCTGAAATACTGAAGCTGGGAGCACTCTGTTTTTCTTTGTTTTCTCTGGTTATTATACTGTTTACTAAATTACATGGTGAGTGAGACATTTTTAAATATTTTTTTTTAAAGAACTGTCTCAAATATTTTGGAGCATTCACAGTTTTCATGTTGAAAATTTATTTCTTAATTTGTGAGGATTTTTGCCTCACCTGAACCAAAGGTTCAAGTGAGAATTCTGATCAAATAGTGTATCAACTGTCCATTATGTACTGTCTGTAAACTATTGTCATTCTTAGCTTTTCTCTTGTACGTGTACCACTAGGAGATCAATTTCAACTAGACTTGGCAAAAAGCATTCTTGGTTGATGGGGGTTTAAATTTGTCCAATGCTATGCCATTTTTCAAGGGGACATATAAAATAGGGTATGGTCATTGGAAAATCTTTCCCAAGAATTACTTAGCAAGACAAAAAACTTAAATGAAAACTTTTAAACTTATAGCTTTAATTAGTTAAAGACATTACCTAAAGGACTAGAGTGGGGTCACAAAAAGTGGTTTATAAAGTTTTGCAAAGGAATGCATTTACTGTATATAGGAAAAGTCATAAAAAATTTACTTATCAAGATTGACATAGAAATTGTTAATTAAACTTATATGTATGCAAGCGTTAACATATGTAGTTAGATAAGTTTGCTCAAATTAAGGCCCTGAGGCTAGTTGGGGCAATGATCAGGAATCTAAAATTTAAATGGGAATATTCAAGAAAAAATCTATAATCTTCTTCTCGGGAACAGCAGGACCACAGTTTGTCAATAAGTATGTAAGCATCTCCATGCAGTATTGATTTTCTGTTAGTTGAAATCATGGATTTCAAGTGCTAAAATAAGGGATTTGTTTATAAATGTATACACTGTACTTATTTGTGCATCTTCCTCCTTCAAAATATGTTTATCTTTTGCAGGTGATGTTGTGCAAAATCTATTGTTGTTTCACCATAGACTTGTAGACTTCAGTAACAAACATGGTATAAATGTAACAGCAACATGTGATAAATTCAGATCGTCTGTGATAGAATGGCATCTTCATCATAAACATCTACTGGTAGGTCTAGCATTATGTATTATAAAATGCATTGGTTTATGCTTTTGAGGTGAAAATAATAGCATGTTTCATAATACGTCCACTGCATATGATGCACACATTTTCTGTGTCATTTCTGATGTTTTTGGATTTATTTATCAATTACTTTTGATTTTCCTTAGGATGAAATTCATGCCCGTTTTGATGTCAGTAAGTTTCCTATGACCTATGTGATGTATATAGTTGTATATGGAGGAGGGATGGGTACACTGGTGTACTTCCTCGCTGATAATGTCTGGTCCAAAAGTAAACTCTCCCCACGGAGAATCAAACAGTGGTAAGTATAATTTTTTATTATCTCAGTAATCTCTACTGTGAAGAGCATTGAAGCTAAATATGCAATTTCATAACTGATATTGCCATGATTCATTCAGTTACCTTTCTCCCTGACTGATGCACTGTATTTCAGGGAGTGTCTCATATACTGCCCCGTATTATTTATGAGCATATTTAATTTCAATTGGGATATCAGTAATTTAATAAAGGGTATGTGAACCTAGAATAGCAAAATATCTTTGTCAACTTTAAAATGGCCTGAAAGTGTTTCACCATAGGAGTATGATAAAGAAGACTATCATTAACACACAAATTTCTTCCAGGACGAGCCTGCTCACACTAATAGGGACTTGGACAGTGGCCTTGACCTACATGCTTGTTTGTGCCTACATGGTAGAAATGGCAATAAAAAATAATGTACGCAGAATCACAGAGGTTCTGGTGAGGATCAGTTTTCTCAAGGGAAAAGACTGTTGTCTTTTTTCCCTAACTTACACAATATTGTAATATTACATATACAAGTCGAAAAATTCTAATATTGCAGATTATAATATTCATGTATTTCAAATATGTCTTTCTTCACAGTAATGTTCTTATATTTACAGGGAGAAGCCATAGCAACAGACTTTGACCTTAGTGTTTTACAAGCTGTTGTGGAGTACTGGAGAACCCGTTGCTTAGCAACAGGAACTCTAAGGGTGATGGGTCTTCTGGAGGTCAAGGACTTGTTGTTCTATTTACAGTACTATCTTGTTCCTGTGGCTACAATACTTGGGACTCCTGTCATTAAACTTGTAGTTTCACTGTATCACATATACAGTTATAAATGCAAATAAATTACCCAAAAGTTGATATTTGTTATGCAATTTACTGTACAATTACACTTGCAAAACTTACTACATATTATTATTGTGTAAATCACACTGACTTGTTACACAAGCATAATTCATGAAGTGCACTACACACTATTATTTTCTTAATATCCCCCCCCCCCCAAAAAAAAAAACTTTTCCTTTAATGTATAGAGGGTCATTAATATTAAATCTTTTATATACAGTTAAATATTCAATATCTCAAATACCAAGGATAGGTCAAAGTAAATTGGATTTCCAAATCTTGTATTTTTGCACTTTAACCTCAATATCTCAGATCCTCAGATATCTTTATTTTCTTCCACATCCAGTTCAAGATAACAAGATTTGACTGTATATCTAAGATTTTGCAAAATATAAAGTCTCAAACTTGTAAAATGAAAGAGTTATATGAAAGATTAAAGTTTTTGACAGAAATTAAGAATGACAGATGGTCAAACAGAACAAAAACAATATGCTCCCAATCTTTGATCTTGGGTCATAAAAATGATGCAGGATATGTGTGAGAGATACTATTCTGATATTTACATACATATATTTAGGTGAATTCAAATTACACTATTTTTAGTAGGAAAAAAAATTGAAGAGGGGGGGGGGGGTTCTTAAAAATGTACCTTTTATGTTTACATGTATATTCTCTCTCTCTCTATATATGTATGTTTTTTTTAAACAGAAATGGATTAACACCAATATATTTATTGTATACTTAAAATTTATGATTTAGATATGTCATCTTCAAGTTTTAAACATACTAGTGCTTTCTTTGTGAGTTTGACAATGCTTCCATTAAAAATAAATCTTTCATTCCTAAATTCCAGAGTTAGTTGTATTTGTGTCAAAAAAAGGAGTAAATCACTTCAGGACATATGCAACATAGTTTTGAACTTTATTTTTTTATTTACTGTATAATTTAAGAGTTCAAATAATTGAAGGAACTTTGTGCAATTTAATTTTGCCTAATAATACCGTACACCTTTTCAGAATCAAATTTTGAGGAAATACCAGCTAAAACTAATTTTTTGTTCATTTTTCTTTAGAGAATACAAGAATTTTAATTTTTGATATCTGTTCAAAACTCCTGGTAATGTTTGCTGATTTTTTGTGTAAGAACATCTGATGGTATTATGATTTTAAATTGAGAATATCTCGGGGAAAATTATCAGTGGGAAGGTACTGTTACATTGTAAAGTACATGTACATACGTTGCATGTGACCTTAACAATCCTTATCTACATCACTTACTTTTTTTTAATAAAAAAACAACAAAAACTTGAAAATTTCTTTTTATACAGTTTATTTTTTGCTACAGCAAAAAACACAGTTTTAAATATAAAATAGTTCTTGTTTCTCCTCTCACTCATTTGTTCAGCCATTCACACTACATGTATTATTGTATATTTTTCATTCTTCTGGTTCCGATTTAATATTTCATTCCTCTGGTCCAGATTTAATATTTTCTGTAGGTCTGACTGGTATTGATGCTTGTTCAGTCTTTAATTGATCCATACTTGCAAGATTTTTGTACACTGTCATGGCCTGGCAAGAAAAAAATTAACCCCATGTATAACATCAATCTGAATTTTCTTTAAAATTATATTGAACAAAAATGTATAAGAAAAAAATGTTATGCTTTATATTAATATTTGACAATACACATTTCTTACTGTGTAACAGACAATATTAATCTGGTGTAACACAAATAACATAGCTTACATCATTGTACCAATAAGATGTTTACAGGGGATTTTGACTCACCTGAGCAACCATCCCTCCAACATCCCCAGAATTTGCCGGTAGAATGACAGTGTTGTTTGTTTTGGCCAGTTTACCAAAAGCATCTACATACTGTTCTGCTATACTGTATGCCACAGCATTCATTCCATTCTATAATTTGATTTCAATATTATAACAACAATTTGTATTTCATATGCATTTCTTCACATAGAGGTGAGATTCTTTCACATGTAGATCTGTGGTAATTATTTAAGGAACCTTCCTTATTTAAAGATAGGTAAATGATAGATATTTCATCACTTTGCAAAAGAAAACTAAGAAGAATACTGAATATTTTTTGTGAGCTACTACCAAAATGCTAAAATAAGCCAAAATTAGCACCCTAATAACTCACTACAGCAGTATCAATATGACAGAGAGCAGCCATTTCTGGGTCTGTATATTCACCTGTTTACTGATAGCCTCAGACACCTGACTGACAGCTCTGGCCTTGGCCTCGGCCATCGCTCGAATGGCCTCCGCTTCACCTGAAAATTAAAAGAAATTAATGAACTGTTACTTTCAGTTGAATATTGTTTTCTCTTTTGGGAAAATACCTTAAAGTTGTAATTTCATTTGATTTCTAAAGTGAGTTAAGCTTGTCTCTCTCATTTTCTCCCACAATGTATTTAGGGTATAAAACACAGTACAAATGAATTGTTAAAGAACAAGAGGCCCATGGGCCACA